ATAACTTTATGTAATATATGTATGCCTTCATCTTACCCAACTTTGATTCAAAAGCAATAATTAATGCCAAAAAATAATTTAAATTGATTATTGTCTTCATTCAGATCAATGTTTCAGGCATCATTAGTAAAATTGTAGCATTCAATATATTTATTTAGTTTTAGATTTGTTGCCACTGTGCTTTATATTCTCTTCTCTAAACAATTTAACCAAAAACAAGTTGTAGCAGAAATCCCTTGATAAATCTTGATTTCGGGCTCAGAAAATAATTAAACGAACACCGGTTTACCTCAACTCGACCCGAGACTTTCGTCTTCACTTTGAACTGTCTAAACTCTCTCAAACCTCACAAAAGAGAAGGGTGGTAGTGTTAGCAATCCACAAAGGTATGGAGAGGAAGAAGAAGATATTTCAATGGTTGAATCTTACTTACAACCTCACATGACTTCTCTCTCTCTCGGTTGCCTCTCTTCTCTCAACTCTCCTCTCCATTGCTACAACACACACACATACCAAACGATTGGGAAATAAATACACATATATAGGTTAGTTTAGGTCACCAAATATGGGCCAAGAGATCTCTAAGTGGGCTGCCATATAACCTAAATTAATGGGCCAATTTCCAACTCTATATTAATCACTAAATGTCCAACTAACCAAATAATCACCCAACCTAAACCCGAGCCATCCAAAAGTGTAGTTCGTCTCCGAGCTGAGCCAAGTCCATGGTGTCGATAAATAATCCGACAACTGTTTTAAATCATCGCTCGGATTATTGGGTATCAAAAAATCCAACACAAGTGTTAATTTGTACTCTTAACTCTATAACTTTAAATGTCTTTTCCTAATTTGAATGTGTTCTTACATTAGATCTTGAATTCCAAAAATTCTCTTTAATTCTTCATACTTCCAACTTCCATAGCGTCCTCTAAAAATTTGAATATTAGAGTAGATTTTCAAATGATGTACATTGTGGACATCACAAGGACTGAATCAATGTTCTCTATACCGTTTTCTACACTTTTTGGTATCCAAAATACCAACTTTTATGTATTCATTTTCTTCTTAAGAATTTTATGTACTTTATTATACTATAGATATTAAGTTGAAACTTCGAGTATAGACTTCAAACTCTTCATGTTCCAGTTGTCTTCATGGGTGCACAAGGCACACAACACTAAAGTTGTTATTGAATCCTAAATGTGTCCCAAACCCCATTTCTCTCCTCTGCCATCTCTAAGCGCAATGTCGCCACCCAAACCCGGTACCAACACCATCCATCACCGAAATCTGCATAATGTAGATGCAAAAATCACCCAAACATCTAAAACTCACTCTCGGATGATCATGTACTATTGTCCCCCCCCCCACCCCAAGACTTGGTGTTATGGTGGTAGCATGGTGTACATATCTTAAAGTGGAGGCATACAAATATCTTAATCTACCTTCTTTTTTCTGAGTTTTATTTCCCCAAACATGGAGCTATGGTGGTGATTTATGGTAAATAGAATGGTGGTGGTGGTGGTGGTGATGTTGGGTATCAAAATAGAATTAAATCGAACATGTTAGGTTTGAAACGGTTTGGTTTTCAGTTTGGGATTCAACCCAACCTGAAAAGTCTTTTCGATGGTTGGGTTATGTCCCAATTCGTCTCATGACAACCTTTAAGTGGGAGTGTACGAGAGAATCCTTGACCTTAGCACTGAAAACAATAACTCATAACTAGAGGTGGATATGGTTTCATTTAGTTCTGGTTCTAAGAGAATTGAACTGAACCATAAAACAATGATTTTTTTTTTTATTATGGAATCAAATGGTTTTTTTAAGATATGGAACCGAACCGAACCGAACCGAATCATTTAGTTCTAGTTTAGTTTGGTTTGGTTCTATTTTTATTTATTAATTTTCCAGACTTGCGCTATATTAGTTAGTAATATGTACCTAAGTTCCTATTTGGCATTGATTAAAATTCAAATTTTTATATAAGTCAAAATCAATAATTAATTTTAACTATATTTCATGGGTCCCACAACATTTTTTCCACAAATTTCTAAAAAACTGGTTTTAATCTCCACCAATCAGGCAATAAACAAAAAAAATAAACATCAATCATTCGGTGTGTTATGTCATTTTATATTTATATCATGATAAATAAGAATATGCATATATTTTTACTGAGTATTCTCCAAATATTTATTCTTACGATGACTTTTCAGATTGAAACAGGTCGGGTGGACGCTTGAAAAATTGATCGAGTGATACTTATGATATCACCAAGTAAAATTTCTGTTGATAATAATGTAGGAAAATCTAAATACGTTAATGAACTCTAAGACACGAAAAACGTTATCTTTTAAGAGATGTTTCTCCCCTATTCAACAAAGTCACAACTGGGGTATGATAGAAAATCTCTCTTAGGATACAATGGAGGCGTTTGATTCAAATTGTGACTGTTTGATCAAACCAAGAAGACACTCGAAAATAACTGATTGATGCCAAGAGAAAGAAGGAAGAATAAATTGTTTTAATGTATTTTGCAAATGAGAATTTGCCCAGAATTTATAGAAACTGAGGCAACTGTTTGAATAGGTGTATCTCTTCGTACATCTATTGGAAGTGACTGCTAAAAAATGAACAGATGCACCTATTCAAAAACTTTTGAAAATAAAATTCTCTTTTGGGAGCGTTGCCCCCGAGCCCCCTCGACCCCCGCAACCTGACCGGGTAGGTCGAACCTCGTTGCGCAGCGGCAAAGACTAATCCGAGCGGCAAATCATTCGCAAAACAAAAAATTAAACACATGCAAAATGATGAAAAATATCTAACAATTTCTAGAGATGATACTTGTCAATTTTTATTTGAACATCTTTATGTTAAATATTGTGCATGTCGTTTAGTAATTTTTTTTTTCAAGCATCTGACATTTTATATTAAATTTAAATTGATGGTTGAAATTGTAATATATTAAGATTTTATTTGACATGATTTTATTTTATTTTATTTTTTATTTTTCACTTAAATTGCTAGTTTATCATCATTTGAAAGTGATTTGACGTCTGGTTATCATCATTTGTAAGTGAAGGCAACCGATATTTCAAAGACAACATTTAGAACTCGTTATGGTAATTATCAGATTACTGTAATGCCTTTTGGATTAACAAATGCTTCTGTAGTATTTATGGATTTGATGAATAGAGTATTTCATCAATATTCATATCAATTTATCATTGTCTTTACTGATGACATTTTATAGTGTTCAAAGAATAAGGATCAACATGAAGAACACTCAATATAGTGTCGGAAACACTACGACGGGAGAAATTGCAATCCAAATTCAAGAAACGTAAATTTGGCTTGATCGTATAATCTTTCTTGATCATGCAGTTACAACACAAGGAAGTGAAGTAAACCCTACTAAAATTGAGGTGGTAAACAAATGGTCTAGATGAGAGGGTTATAGAAATTGGTTACAGCTCCAGTTTTAGCTATGTTGGAGGGTTTAGATGGATTTATTATATGCAACAATGCATCCAAACAAAGTTTGGGATGTGTACTGATGCAGTAAGGGAAGGTGATTGCATATGCCTTAAGACAACTAAAACAACATGAACAAAATGACCTTACACATGTTCTAGAGTTGGCAACAGTAGTGCATGCACTAAAGACATGGTGTCATTACCTCTACAAGAAAAGTGTGACATTTTACACGAATCATAAGAGTTTGAAATACTTCTTCACTCAAAAATATTTAAATATGAGATAGAGAAGGTACTTGGAGTTAGTTAAAGATTATGACTGCACTATCTATTACCACCCGAGTCCGGTTAATGTAGTCGCGTTTGATTTTAAAGTTTTAATATATATATATATATATATATATATATATATGAAAATTATCTAATGGACACTGGTGCTCGATGACATAGCACAAAAATTAATTAGTAAATCATTAAATTCATGGAACCTGCCATTAATATATTCACCAATCAATTGGTGTGTCATATCATTGGTGCTTAACATAATCTAAGCATCGATGCCCATTAGATCATCTCTCTCTCTCTGAATCATAAGTTTTAGGCTTTATCATTTTTATTCCTTTACTACTCGATTTCTATGTTAAATATTTCAGAATAGACTGTTAGGTTAAATATGTAAATCCTAATGAATATAATTATTAAGAAATTTCTTGAATAATTTGATATTGCGATCAACTTGCTGTAAATATAAGAATGTCAGTATGTTTATGTACTTTTATATTTATATCATGTTATATAAAAATATATAAGAATTTTTACTGAGTGTTTACAAAATATTTATTCTTACGATGGCTTTTCAGATTAGAACGTGCCGTGTGGACTCGTGGAAGATTTATAAGGTAATACTTATGGGATTGCCAAGTAAAATTTCTAGAAATGATAATTGCCAATTTTAATTTAAAGAACATCTTTATGCTAAATTTAGTGCTCCTTTTTTCTTTTTTCTTTTTTTTTTTTTTAAGTTTTTTGTATTTGAGCATTTGACATTCTATTTTAAATTTAAATTGATGGTTTGAAATCATAGTATTCTAGGATTTTATTTAATATGAAAATTTTCTCTTAAATTGTTGGTTTATCATTATCGATTTATTTATTAAATCTCAAAAAATGAATAAAAGTGAATTTTCGCTTAAATTGGAAAAATGAAGATTTATTTATTTATTTATTTTGTAACACTTCAAGACTGTTTTTATTAAAAAAAATGAAATAGACTTCAGGACGTTACAGTTCTAGTTCTAAGTTCAAGGAACATAGCCAAAACCGTTAATTTTTTTGGTGGACTCGGTTCAGTTACTTTTAGGTTTGATTTGGTCTAGACATTTTGTCCACCCCTACTCCTAGCCAACTAAAAACAAGAAGAATGTAATTATTTTTATATTAATATTGTAGCTTAAATCATATTTATTTATATAGGAGGATAATATTGTTAAACTTAAAAATAGATTTAAGGGTGCATTTGATTGCTAATATTTTTCATGAAAAATATGTTTATCCATCCAAATTCCTACTTTTGTATTTCTTGATTAACATTTTTTTCATGGAAAATATTTTCCTATTTTTAGTCACGTGATCATATCCTCTTCAAAATGAAGGAAAATATTTTCTTTAGAGGATTAGAATTTTATTTCCTAAGGAATTTACTCTCTATTTCTTTCTCTCTCATCTACCCAGCAATAAAAAATTGACAAGAATAATTTTCTAAATTGAAAATTAAATCAATCAAACACATTTAATTGATAATTTTTCATGCAAATAAGTTATAGGCAATTGAGTTGTTTAGAATTTATTTTCTTTCCATTCAAATTCGATGCTTGCATTCAAACACACTTTAAGATTTTGGGCACCATTCTCAACGAGAGAACTACGAATGGCAAAGATTTCAACACTGGAATTATATATTTGGCGTTTGCAATTGGAAAAGATTAAGACAACTAGATGAAAGAGAAAGAGGCTTAGATTTTGTCAACACTTAGTTTGTAAGTGTTGGCGAAACCTAGGACACTGATTTTAAAAATTATTTTTGAAATGATTTGGTGTAGATGTTACTAGCACATAGTTTGTAAATTAAGTTTGTTAACCTAATTTGTACAAATAGCATGATTCAAACCGACTACCGGAATCAGCCTTATGAAGCTCCCTTGAAATTATTAAGGCCAAACAAGCCTGAAGATTCGGAAAATTTCACCGAGTTGTTGAACCTGACAAATATGACGAATGATAGGAGAGGTAGAAAGAGAGTATAAAATATATGAAGATCCATACATTGTACTTTTTCAAGTTCTATAATTTTTTAATCACTGTTTAGATTATTTGTTTGTCAAATTAGGATTTAGAGAGTCTTGAAACGAGATTAACCAAGAATTAAACAGCAGTTCGTTTAATTGTCAATAGCTAGTATCATTTTTCCATGGAAGTATCTATAAGCGCAAGACCCTGGAAATGTGACTTCTAATCAACGCAGTAATTTAGTACCAGATCCTTGATGGGAGGAAACTCCATTTTCTTTGACTTATGCGTTGGTTAGAAGCCTGATGTCAATATGACGACAATACTAAATATCATACTCGAGAATTCGGAGCAACACCATAAATCCGAGCAGCATATTCTTTCTATTGTAACAAAGGGTAATGGACATATTTAAAATCAGGTTCCAGTTTAGTTCTACTACTGTCTGATATTTAACATTGAATCAAGAGATTCAACAAAGAAATTAACAACTTCCAAATTACAATTACTTTTTATATGCTTGGTCCACATCACGACATACCTTTTAAAATTCATTAACGTCAGAGAGCTAACTCGGAAGTTGAAGGATTTGCTGCTGATAGATGTGGTGAAGCAATGTGCAGGTTAGGCGGGATTTGCAAGGATTCTATGTTCCCTTCCAACATTTCTAACACTCTTGTCATTGATGGCCTCATTCTAGGATTAGTCTGTATGCACCATAAGCCAACAATTATCATTTTCCTTATCATCAAATGTTCATCTTCATTCACGTTGCAATTGAGATCAAGTTGAGCATTTTGTGCGAGGTGGTGATATACCCAGTCAGGAAAATATATTTCACTTGAATCATCAGCGTTGGTATCAGTATTTTTCGTCTCACCAACCATTTCCAGAACCATCATCCCATAGCTATAGACATCTGATTTGTAGGAAACTTCTCCAAGGGCTCTATAAGCTAATTCTGGAGCTATATACCCTATTGTCCCCCTCACTCCTAACATTGACACTGTACTGGATCTATTGGGGGAAATTTTAGCCAGGCCAAAATCCGAGATCTTAGGATTGAAGTCTTTATCTAGAAGAATATTGTGAGGCTTTATGTCAAAGTGCAAAATTCGTGTGTTACAACCTTGATGCAAATATTCTATTCCCCGAGCAATGCCAACTGCAATATCTAACAACTTTCCCCATCCTAATTGATCTTTTGGTAAGGAATTATTATTGCTTATGAACCTGTCAAGAGATCCGTTTGGCATGAAATCATAAATGAGAGCTCTTTTGGAACCCTCGAAGCAAAATCCGAGGAGAGTGACAATGTTAACGTGGGATGTTGTGCTAATACTTGCAACCTCATTGATGAACTCTTCTCCACTACCTTTTGATTCTTTCAAAATTTTTACCGCTACAAGACCGTCATTTGGGAGCTTTCCTCTATAGACAATAGAGAAGCCCCCTTCTCCTAACTTGTCATGGAATGAATTGGTCATCTTCTTGAGATCTGAGTATTTGTATCTTCTTGGCGCACGATCCCCATGGTTCTTCAAGAATAGTTCAATGTCCTTGTCGTTTTGTGTTTTTCCTTTCCAAATGAGTGTATAGTTTCTTCTGTTAAAAGTAAATAAGATTACGAAGAAGAGTGCTGTAGCCGCTGGAATACCTGTAATGAGAAACAATTTATTAATAAATTGAAATGCATAAAAAATGGAAACAAAATTTAAAGATATACCTGCAATTAAAATCAGTTTCAATTTGATTTTTCTTTTTCCTTTTCCTTTATCCTTTTCTTCTGCAGCTGGAGTAAAAACTCACGTTAGATCAAGCAAACGTACTAAAGAAGAAGGGAAATCATTTTTCTCAGTATACTCTGTTCTGCACCTAAACTCTTTGACAAGCCATATGAACATGAAAGATAGTGAGTCCAAGAGATTTTCGGTGATAACTACTGTCATATTTACAAAAACCATTAGTATGTAACTGATTGACGTTGAACTCTGTATATGATTTGGATTCTGATTTAAATTGACATCACAAGACCAACTATAGACTATGATGCTAAAAGACAAATACGTGAAAAAATAGATAACCATAATTTCTATCTTAAAACCTTAACCTTAATACATATTTAAGCTGAAAATATTTTACCCTCTAAGCATTATGTACTGGATATACCTCTTTGACATTTAAATTGATTCCTGCCGTTAGTTGTACAGTGGCCTCCTGTATTGTGACACCCATTGCAATCCTCAGACAGATGCCATTCGAGTTCATATTCATCGCTAAACAGATCCCAGAAATCCATCGAATTGACATCGTATTGTGAATACATTGGCACCATGACAGCTGAACAGCCTTCTGGGGTTGAAAGAAGATTCCTATCAGTATAATATACATCAAAGGACTCGCAACCTGAGTAGTTTTTAAAACCCTGGAAATAACGCTTCAGTGTTTCACCGTTACTTTTGGTACATCTGAACAAAGTAATATTTCGGAAGATAGTATAAGAAATACAAGGAGAGTTTGGAAGAGAGAAATTGATGTAGGGTAAATCACAGAATTTATGTCTTAAATAGCCTAGAAGAGTAGGGTTTCGAATCAAGAACACATTGGTAGAGATCTTGGACAGAATGATATATGATTGTGATAATCCTTCATTTGCCAGGTAAAGTTTTGGACTACTAGCATTACAATCAACCCCTAAGAACCCACATTCCGGTTGCGAATAATTAGATATAGGAAACTCCAAAACCCCAAGACTTCCACACTGGAAACTCTCTTGGCATTTCGAATTAACAAAATTTAGGGTAATTAGATGAAAAATAGAGAAAAGCACGAGAAAACTAGCAGTAGACATGTAGACCTTCTTCAAAAAACCATGCCCTCTATCCAGTTTTATACTATGTTGCATTATCAGATTTTCACAACCCATACTTGACTTGGAAACTTTTTCATGAAATTTTCCTTTTTTGAATAATCCATTATATGTATATTTGTTTTAACTTTTTCATTGTTTAATAATTGATTTTGATCATTTAATTCTTTTTCACTTTAGTAGACTTTGAAAATCTTGCGACGGACATAAACTGGAAACAGTTGCGGGTTTAGTGGTCAATAATTACATCCTAGTTAAAATTAATAATCTAAGAATACATGTCTGCTAAAATATAAACATAATTAAGAAAACCGAAAGTAGGGACTAGGGAGAAAGGTCCTTCGCCTTCCTGTGACCTTCGTACTGAGATCTCCAATCTGGCCATCTACTCAGTGCAAGAATTTCCTGCATTATTTAAAGAAACAACGCACAATTCGAAAGACGAATCTCTGTTGGAATTTTGGATACAACCTGTCATTTTAATTTATGCCATTTTAATTTAAATAGGATCAAATTTATACTTTGTTAGGAGTTTATTACTTAATTAGGTCAAATTGTTTCAAAATTTATCATCTGTTCCTGTTTTAATTAGTTAAGCATTAGATTAAAAGAGTTGCTGCCGCTAGCTAATGATAAAATTGTAACGTATGAATATTTCTTAACTCGAAACTAATATTTTATAGAATCAATGATCTGTGGAACAAAATCAATTATTCAAAATCTAATTGCACGTTTACAATTAGTAACAGTCTTTCTAACATTCTTGAAAATCTCTGGATTTTTTCAATTACTTAATATTACTAAGAAAGATGGAATGCTAATTGATGAAGTACAGCAGTTCACGTCTAATTTACATGGCCACTGGGAGAGGTAAATCAAACAAGGGGCTAATCTACACTGGAGTGAAGTCCGCAGGTTGGACCGGACCCTTTTGGGATTCTGGCTCTTTGTATTTAATTATTCCGTGTTATTTAACTATAGAATATTATAATGTCGTTACTACTTTTATATTTTTCTTAATTTTTTATTTTCCCATACTCGGTGCTATGGATGGTAATAATTTATGGTGAATCGAATCATGGTGGTGGTGATGGTGGTTATAGAGGTGATGATGGCGAGTTTGATACTCTATTTTATGATGTGGGCGATTGTGGTCCAATTTGGGTCAAAATCGGACTCGAAAAGTTAGTTGGATGGTCAGATTGTTCCCTAATCTGACTCGTGCCCACTCCTAACCCTAAGTAGGAATTTGGGATGGAACCCTTAATCCAAGAAGGAAAACAATAATTCCTAACCAACCAAAAAAAAGAAGAATTTGTAATTATTCTAAATTTAATATTGTGTCATAATCATATTTATTTATGTAAGAGGAAAATATTGTTATACTTAAAAAATAGGGGGTAAGGTTTTGGGCACCATTCTAAACAAGGAAGGAACTGCAAACGACAAAGATTTCAACACTAAAATGACATTTGGCCTTTGCAATCAGAAAAGATTGGGTCAACAAGATGAAAAAGAAAGAGGAGAAAAACACTAGAATAAGCATTGTGGAGCTCCCTTATAAATCATGAAGGCTAAGCAAGTTGGAAGATTCAGAAATTTTCACCAAGAATTGTTTAAAGTGACAAATATGATGAATGTTTGGAGAAGCAGAAAGTTGGTGAGAAAATATATGAAGGTTCATACTGCATACTTTTTCAAAACTGCAATTTTCTATCATCAATTTGAATTATCCATTTTGTCAAATTAGATGACTTAGAAAGTCTTGAAACGACATTAACCAAGAACTAAACAGCAGTTCATTGAATTGTCCATACCTTCTAGCACTTATCCATTGAAGTATTGTAAATCTTTACTAAGCATGCTTCTACTTGTCAATGTTATAGAAACAAACTTGGAATTGAAAATTTCTCAAGATTAAATGTGTTGAATAACTTGCTTACTTACTTGATCTCGTTGGTACAAAACTCTATTAAATTGAAGGAGTTCCTTATTTACAATCTTAATGCCTTCTCCAAGATGATTGAATGCCCTAAAAATGTAATATATACCATTTTTACTCACGAATTTTCATGCTTTTCTTGATAGAGAGATATAAATTCTACTTCCATAACGTGAATTACATATCTTGGAAGTTATTGTATGCATGTGTTGATTATGAGTAGAAGAAGTTATACAAAATTCAAAGAATAACTAATCCCTCCAACCCATTTTATTTTACTTGGGTCTGGTCAATCCACATAGGTGAACCGTCTATTTCTAACGTCTCCTCAAATCATCAATCATCAATTAGATCTATCCCAAACATTTAGCTCACATGGATCATACTGATAAATGGATCATGCGACCCGCGAGTAACTTAGAGCATTCAATGTTATACACCTTAAGGATATATAACAGTTCTATAAGAGAAATCTTATTTCTCATAATAACAAAGACTATTGTATAACATCTAGTTCAAGTACTATTTCTGATTCCTCAATAAATCAAGAACATATTTAAACTCTGCGCCATATGTTGCATTCATAATTGTGTCAAAAACTTCAATTAGTTAACACAATTATCTCACCGGTGAATACCAATGTGTCAGATAGAATAGTCCTTCATTTTCTACTTGAATCTCTAAAACTTAAAAGAGCTGCCTTCCTAGACATATCCCATTAGACCAAATCATTCATGATCATTGACAATATGCTAAAGTAGAAAACCTATAATGAAGTCTCGAAAAACAGTTAAAAAAAAAAAAAAAGGGTATATTAAATGAGGTTATATATTAAAAATCAAAGATCTATTTCATTTTCCATTGGTTGTCAAAGCACACATTACATTGCACATATCATAGTTCAAGCAATTCTCAAAGTTTAACTTGAGTTCTCCTTATATTATTTCTCTACGCAATCTTAACTTAGAACTCAATTAGCAACATAAATAAGTCTTGTGGAAAAAAGGAATCAACTTCAATTACTTATTGTAATCTCATTTTAATTCTTTATCAAGGTGATTGGATCACATACACAACATGATTGCTTTATCTCATCTCAGCACATTTCAAAATATTTGAGGTACATTGCTCATGTGAGTGAGCCAATCCTTACATGTTCGACATTTTTTCTATGTGTGCATTCAAATTACTCATAATAAATAAAATAAAGGATGAGCGAACCAACTACCATTTGATGCGTTGAAATGTACTGCAAAGTCACTTCCTTCTTTAATATGATGTCTCGTACACAATTATATTTTGTGTCAATGTATTTGGTTCTACTATATTACTCGAGATCCTTCGTATATGTTATAGTAGCTTGACTATCACAATAAATAAATGGAGGCCCTATATCATTGTTAGAAATTCTTAGATGCTAAAATAATTTCTTTAACCAAATAGCTTCTAATACTGCTCATGCATATGCCATAATTTTTTCCTCTTATATACAAGAAAGGCATGTCATTTTTTTACACTCGAATAGATGGTGCCATTATAAAGCAAGAATGCATATCTCGAAATTGATTTGCACACATCTTGGTCCCAACCCAAGTAGAATCTATGTATCATTTTAACTACAAATCATTTATTTGATAATATGTGGAATAACTAGCAGTACCATTCAATATCTCAATGTCCTCTTAATAGCTTTCCAATGTTCTCTTTCGAGGATCAGATTGATACCTACTGATCAGACCAATGGTATAACAAATGTCAGGACAAATACATATCATAGTGTACATGAACCTCCAAATCACACTAGAGTATGATGCTCTTGAAATTTCTTCTTTTTCTCAAGAGTTTTAGGACACACGTGAAGATTTTCGGCTTTTGATACAGGTACGTCAATGGGATTGCAATTTTCTATTTTGAAATGTTTGAGAATCTTCATTATATATTATTCATCTGACAGAGCAAGAATTTTCTTCAAACGATCTCTCTATGAATTTTTTCACCTAATATATAATCTGCTTCACTCATATCCTTCATGTTAAAATTTGATGACAACCAAACTTTATTCTTATTAGACTTTTTTGAATAAATACAGTAATCTTCATTCAGCATGACAGAGTTGTTCTATATTATCGTTTTGTCAAACATCAGACCACTTTCTAAAAAATACTCTATGACATAGATTGATCTTTTTAATTTACAAACTTTATTCTCTTGGACTGTTTCAATGAAACTTACTATTTGTTGTATGCAGATTTCTCCATTGAGAAATGTTGTCTCTATGTTCATTTGATTTAACTAAACCTAAATGTGCCATTATGTCTAAGCATAGTAAATTGAAGTAAATCTCACTGCTGGTGAAAAATGTATCTTTATAATCTATATTCTCATGTTAAGTATAACCCTTGCTACCATGCGGGTCTTATACCATCAGCTTTTTGCTTTATCTTGAGAGCTTGTTTGTTTCCAAAAGCTTTTCTACTAGTTGAAAAATCAAACAAGTCCTAGGCTTGATTTGATTTAATCACTTCATTTCTTTTTCATTGTAATCTTCCACTTTTTCTTTGTAGGTCTTGACAGAGCTTCATGTATTGATTTAAGTTCTTCACATGTTCTAAAAAAACTAGAAAAACTTGTCTTTTAATCTCGAAATGACCTTTAGCCATACTTATCTAGTACTCTTTTGAAGTGAAAGCTACAATGTCAACCCTATTACTTGGAGATAGATTACTCCCACTTGGATCAACAAGTGGAAGTGTTTCCTTTTGCACCTATTAGTTTTTACTTATAAACACATATCATTTGGATTGATCCAAGTATTTGATAAAGATACATATTTTTGTCTTTTAGGTACAACTTTCCAAACTTGCTTGAGGGATCGTGGATGCATGCTATTGATCCCCAAGGTATAAGATAGCTTAAATCGGGCTATTTACCTATCCAAAGCTAATATGGTACTGTAGGAACTGATTTCGATCACAACGTTACATGTGCCAATAGATGTCTAATTTGCTTACGCTATCATAGAACATATCATTTTGAGCAATATTATATTCCTCATCTTAGTAACACTATTTTGTTTTGGTGTACTGAGAATAGTAAATTATGTAAAATTCCCTTTTCATTACATAGTTGAACCCTTCAGATAGATATTAATGTCCTAGATAAATAAGGTTTTCGCCTTTCTTTCTATTTAATTATCTATCGTTTTAAGTAGTCCAATACCCCTAACTTATGATAAATCAAACAAAAAAAAAAAAAACCACACCATGTGAAATCATATTTAAATGTAACGAAGTAAGAAGCTACATGTCTTTCCCTCACATTCATAGGACCAAAAATATGAGAATGGACTAATTGTAATGGAAATTTGAACCTCAAAGTCTTACTAAATGGTTTTCGTATTGTTTTTCTATTAGGCAATGTTCACAAATAAACAAAGAAACTTTAGAGATTGAACCTAGTAGTCTCTCTTTGATTAATCTATTCATTCTCTCTTACCTAATATGTCCTAATTTAGCTACTGTATACATGTATCCACATTCATATATTTAGAAGAAGACACATTCATAGTAAAAAATCTATTCAAGTAATATTTATAAATATTTCACAATCCAACACAAAAAACTATCGCAGAGATAGCAGGATCCATTATATAGATTGCCATTGTCTATAACAACAGAATTCCCATTATTGTTTAAACTGAAATCTAATTTTTAAAGAAAGCAACTAAAATTAAGTTTCGACGTATCCCTAACACAAATAGAAAATCACAAAGTAGAATAATACGACCTTCACTCAATTGTAACTTCTATGTAACAATCTCTTTCACTTCCACCTTATCATCGTTTCCAACATATATCCACTTTATACTAGCTAGATATCAAAGGAACTCCACAAACGCTTCTCAATCCTTAGTTATATCGTATGTCACCCTTGAGTCTACAATTCACATAGGATAAGATTTAGTTAACATAACAGTGCTAGAAATATAAACAACACCAAAAGAAATATCTCCAATAGCCACCTTCTTTGGCTAAGGACGGTCCTGAGCAAAATAACTTAGCACTGACAATTATAGCATTTCAACTTGCTCTTATCTTTCTTCTTTTTGAACCATTTTTCCTTATTGCGTTTGGTCTTGTTCTTTTTAGGTCCATGCCCAATCCTTTTTCCTATTTCTTTCTCGCTCTTGTTTCAATTTTTTTACATTTAAAGCCCAAAGCTTTTTTTGAACTAGATGCAACCACAAAAGCATGTCCAATGGATTTAACTACTCCTAGTTGCTCATCATATAGTTTAACATGTTGTGCATAATCAATAAAAGTTTTGATGCTATCTTTGCGAGTCAAATTGACTTTTAGATGTTCCTATTATATTAGGAAAAGATCGGATCAAAGCCTGAATTTGCTGCTTATCAAAGAGTATGTGACTGACCAACTTCATCTTCGTGATCATGTTAGACATAATCCTAACATGATGTTTGATGTTATGATGATGAGATTTCTTATTAGTGTTAAAATTAATTGTTAGCTATCTAGGTCTAGTCACATTAGTATCACCATATTTCTCTCTCAAATGCATTCAGATATTTTGAGCAGTCGAAAATTGCTCATACCCACTAATGAGATCATTTACCATAGAACTTACCAAAATGTGGATTATTTTTTTCCTATGACTAGTAAGTTTCTTGATCTCTTTGATGTTAAGTAATCTGACCCATACTTGGATCCCAAATTTTATGACGTCAAGTATTATGGTTATTGCCATTCAATTTGTCACCATTATTAAGGTTAGAGTAATATTTTCGATGTCATGTCTATTTAGAGACAAACATTTAAAGTCTTTTCATGCACAAATATCACTTTGCACTCATGCAAATTAAGATTTATGATAATTTAACATTATGCGTAGAGTCGATTGTTTACTATGTTTCCAATCATAGTCAATTATCCTATGTTTCATTATCACAAAAATTAATTTCAAAGCGCAAAATCACAACTTTGAGGTAGAGTAACATGATCTCTAACTACCTTCGAACTCCTACTAAATTAAATAATTAATCATGTATAATATAAAATAGACATTTCGATCATGTATAATAAAAGTACAATGCATAAATTAATCAAAAAATGTCAATATGTACATGTGATCACATTAAACTCTTCTATACAATTACTAGAGTCGAGAAGAGCATTACATTAATATTGAACAGCATTTTGATTAAGTTACTAAGTTACTACTACAACAAACTATACATAGATAGATGGATTTTCTTAATATTTTAGTTTTTGTTCTTCTATTTCCTTGTCAAAATCCTAGTTAAATAGCTGTAGGTTAGAGTAGGTGACTTGTCTAGAATGGAAAGTGTTCTCATTAGATGATGTATTTTCTCCACCTAACATATATATTATCCAAATGTATCACTTCTAGATGCATTGCTTTGAGATTTTTATCTATTGTACCAGGTTACATTACGAATCCATTTCATAGTTTTGATAAGCATGTAGCTTTCCAACAGGATCCACAGCCCATGCTTTTCCAGCCTTTCCTCTAAGGATGCTAAAACATTGTGCATAAATCTAACTATGCCCTTGTTTGAGCCCTATTTTTTGGGAAGAATGAATTTTTGAATAGAGTATTGATGGAAAATGTGTGGTTAAAAAATAAAAATTTTTTTTGAATTTGCGTGTAATATTATTTTATTGTTGAAATGATGTCAAAATACTGTTGAAAAATGTATTTTTTCAAAAGAATGGAGCTCAAACGAGGGTTATATCTAATTAAGTTCAAAATGGAAACATCACAACGGATCACATAACCTAATCAAGAGGTAGATCCCTCATGAACATAGAAAAATATGGTATTTTAAACACTTTTGAAGTATTTTCCAATTTTCAAAAATCAAGAGCATAAAAAAAATTGACTCCTACTTGGCAATTAATAAATACTCTTGACTCTAAAATAAATAAATAAATCAGAATTTATTCAAGTTTAACTATTTGAAAATTAATTTAATTATATCGAAAAATAAGAATATTTTAGTGACCAATCTACAAGTTTTAAAATTGCATTGCTCCTTTCACGCTTTGAGCTAAAGCAACTTTTTAATAACAAACAGAGCCACTTGGATATGCGTACGGTGCATGCACCATCTATTTGACAGCGAAAATATTATTTTTCTTTTTCACTTATTTTGACGTTCTAAGTTCATCTCTGCAGTCAGAATTAAAAAAAAAAAAAAAATACTAAACATATTCTAGTGTTTGGTTTACAAACATAACGGACACAGGCTGAGAGAAAAAGCTACTAACATCATCTTCCAAAATTTTTTCAGATTTTTAAATTTTTCTCACATTTGACCTAAACTTTTAAATGATCTAACTTTCTTGTTTTAAGTCCAAATTATGAGTTCTTTATGTGTTTGAAAAGCTTATAAGAAGAAATTTCTAACAATACTAATATTACTGCAGGAAAATTAATGAACAAAAAGCAGCAAGTATTTAAAATTTTTACAATTTTAACTATGGTTTCACTTTTCTCCAAAAATTTTAAATCATATAGAGAAATATGCAGTAAAAATTATGTGAATTTATGTTTCATATTTCACTATATGCCATTAATGATGTTTTTAAGCTTTATCATAAGATACATACATTTACAGCAAGATTAGTATGCAAGGAAATAACATAAGAAGGCTCTAATAGCAATGTAATTCCTTACTAAGCATGTTTCTACTTGTTAAGGTTGTAGAAACTTACTTGAAGTAAAAATTTCCCATGATTAAATGTGTTGAACCGCTTGCCTTACTTTGCTCGATCATGTTGGACCAAAACTCTATCAATTTGAAGGAATTCATTAGCCACAACCCAAATGTCTTTTTCAAGATGATTGAATGCAGAAAAAATGTGATATATTGCCTTTTCAATTTTTCAACATTTTTATGTACGAATTTTCATGTTTTACTTGAGAGAGAGAGAGAGAGATCAATTTCAACTTCTACACTTAATATGAATTACATATCTTGGAAGTTATTGTATGCATGTGTTGGTTATTGGAGGTGGAAAGTTATTCATAACCCACATCGGCGACCCTTCCATTTCCAACAAGTATCTATAAACATAAGATGGAAATGTGATCAGTACACACGGTCATTACCAGATCTTTCATTGTCGAGCTCAGTGTGACGACAATCCAAACATAAACTTGTGAATGGCTGAATGCGGACCCTGATCTCCTGCAAGAAACAAATGATCAAGCATGAACGACTAAATGCCATGCAACACCTAAATTACCTAAAAAATTAGCTCTTGCTGCATATTCTTTCTATAGGTAACAAAGGGTAGTGAACATTACTTGAAAGCTGATTCCAGTTAGTAGATACTTTTTAATTGGTACTAGTTATCAATAATACAAACTAGAGAGCACTTTAACTGTCTTATACTCTAGTTCTACACCTGTCTGATAACATTGAGACAGAAGATTCAACAAATAAATTAACAACTTACAAATTGAATTTACTGTTTATATGCTTGGTCGACAGCAAGATCCTCCAAACACCAATCCCTTCAAGAAAGCTCTAATAGGGACTGCAGCAGCTGAAGTAAGAATACATGTTAGTTCAAGCAAACATATTAAACGAGAAGGGAATTCATTTTTCTCATTATACTCTCTTCTGCACCTTGAATCTTTGATAAGCCATGAACATGAAAGATCTCGTAAGAGAAAAGATTTTCGGTCTTGGCACCTGTTATACATAAAAATAAAATAAAAATCCATTAGTATGTGACTGAGCAACGTTGAACTCTCACATGATTTGGATTCTGATTTAAATTTACATCACACGACCAACTATATACAGTGATGCTAAAAGTCAAGTACGTGAAAAAGGGATAAATATGTATTGAATTTTGGAGTTCTATCTCAAAAGGTTAACGTTGTTACATATTTAAGCTGACAATATTTTAACTCACGAGTATTATGTACTGATTGTACCTTTTTTGGCGTTCAAAATGATTCCTGATGTTAGTTGTACATTGGCCTCGGATGCCATTCAATTTCATATTCGTCGGTAAACAGATCCAAAAATCCATCAAATTTGCATCATATTGCGATTACATTGGCACTGGGACAGCTGCACACTCAACTGGGGTTGAAAGAAGATTCCCAGTAGTATAATATACATCGAAGGATTCGCAACCTGAGTAGTCTTTAAAATCTTGGAAATAACGCTTTAGTGTGTTACTTTTACTTTTGATGCATCTGAACAAAGTTATATTTGGGAAGATTGTGAAAGAAATAGGAGGAGAGTTGACGATAATTTGATGAAAAATAGAGAAAAGAACCAGAAATCTAGAAGTAGACATATAGACCTCCCTCGGAAAAAACCATGTCCTCAATCCAGCTTTACACCATGTTCTAATCATTTTTACAACCTATATTTGCACGCCAGCATGACTAGGAAACTTTTCCATGAAAAATATTTTTGAAAGATTTATAATGTATAGTTGTTTTAACATTTGCCTTTTAATTACTGATTTAGATTATTTAGCCCATGTTTGGTATTTAGATTTTGATAGAAGTTTATTAAATATATGATTAAAAGTTATGGGTCCCATAAAATGTGTAATTTACGGACTCCACCAAATTGGGCTTAATTTGTTTGTTTCTAGCATTAGTCAACTTTGAAAATCTTGTGACGCAAATAAAACCTGGAAACACCTGTTGGTTGGTTAGTCAATAATTACTTTTTAATCAGACTTTTAGTCTAAGAATACGTGTCTGCTATAATATAAACATAAGAAAAAAAAAAACGGAAAGCTAATCCCTGCGCGTTTGATTTTGTATTGACTGCTAATTACATCATTGCATATTTGCATCTTACATCATTGCATGTCTTTTTAATTACTTTCATTATTCTAATAATGTTAAATCCCGCCTAAGTTGTGTTGTTCTCTTGGGAAACTGATGAAGTCTAAGATTCAAGAAGGCCAAGGGAATCTTCAACTTGCTTATATCATTTTATTTAATTAGGATCAAGTTAATTTCTCTTATTTAATCCCATGTTTGAACCTCGTCCATGTACACTATTAATAAAATAATTTTACATATAAACCCAAATTTTTTCTGAACGCTTTAACACGTTCTCAAACAAATCACATTACAAAATCTTATTTTTATTTTCATTTTTTTTTTTCCAAAAAATGGGGTCCAAACAAACCCTAAATAAGATTTTATAATTAAAGAAAGAAAAAGAAACTGAAAAAGTTTTGGTTCAATCGATTAGTTCTCTTGAAAAAGTATCAAAAACAATTACATCTTTAGAACGGTACTGAATTGATTGGTTCTCATTCAATTCGATCATACGTGTGAATTTTGTCAACCCGTAATTGCTAAGCAAGGAACATGGAGGAGGGTACTTCACCTTCCCCTGAGGCTCGTAGTGAGCTCGCCACTCAAGCCATCGACTCACTGTGAGAATTGCATGTAGCGACATTGCAAGAAGGCTATGAACTTGGAATGGTTTTGTTACTTTACTTTTTAATTGTCCCATATTAAATAACTATGATCAAGTCGATGCAAAATAGAATTTAATATGGCAGGAAAGAAGTGGAATTTGTTATCAACATGGGTTTTTGACACAAGACTTTGATTGGGACTTAAATTTAATTGGGTTTGGACTTTTTTTATATTTGGAAGACTTAGGCTTATGATTGGACAAAAGTATTGGCGGTTGAGTGATAAATATATATACACGCATACAGTAGTAAAGAAATTATTATTACATGCACATAAGCCAAAAAGGAAAAGGAAAAATAATAATAATAAGAGAGAGAGACAGAGGAGGTTACATATACACAGACAAAATTATGCAGAAGAAGAAACGCACTAGGACGGTGGAAAGGAAGACGGCACACGCATAGGGAAGAAAAAATAATTCCAAATTTCATACAATTAATCATCAATAATTGTACAAGAAATTTGAGAATTAATTACGTTCTATCAATTTATTGACGATGTTTTTTCACTTTTATTTGTTTAATTCTAATATTACTAAACTACTTTATAAATGATGTAAAAGTAATATTTGGTACCAATTTGTTGACGGATTTGATGAATCTCGGACGAATGAAAGAAAACAAAATTTAGCATAGAAATTTAAAAAAAGAAAATTATACTCTCAAAACTCAATTTCTATGATTCAAATTTTTTGTAATGATGAAATACTATAAATGAAAAATCTTTTTTATTACATTTAATACATAAAAATTAATTGTTAATATATAAATTTAAACACCTATTAAAATTTCAAAATACATAAATAAGAATAAATTAATCTATAATAACTCTAGATTCATGTAATTCAAGATTCATCAAGTGAAAATTCATTGAATATGTTAATATTAATGTGAATGTAATTAATTGAAAATTAATAAACACAAATTTCATAGATGACAATAATTATGTAATATTTATTATATATCGAAAAACGAAAAGTAAGGTACTATTGAAATAATTAAATTGTAAGAGGGTTAAAATCGTCTAAAAAATTATTCTCCCTTAATGTGATACTTTAATAAATTATAAATGAGTAGTTTACTAGGATTATGATGCACTTTGCATCACAAACTTTTAACTCATGATTAATTTTTTATATTTAAAGAATGTTTTCAATTCTTAAATGGTTGATATGGATTTAATTTTCTATACAATTATATGCACAATAGTTGTATCAATATTGCGATTTGTTGTACTTTCGAAAGATTCGAAAATAATTAAATGTAATGTCAATTGTTGTAGAGTTCGATAGGTGATAGAAATATACCACTCTATTTTACGTGGACATTATGTATTCATAAAGTTTTAATTCATTTTTGTGTGTTCGCATTTGTTATAGAAGTATATTGGGATCACATATAAGAATATGTTTAATTTTACTCGAGTGAGATTACTAAACAAATTAAGAATATTTGTCTTCATAATTGAATTGTGTTGTCAAATTCATAAGATTCAGGGTTAAATGAGATTGATATAACACTTTTCATTGTCATATTTTTATAAAACTTGTATTTAATTATAACATTGCATTGACTTTAATTAATTTAAGTCTGCATTCAAACACAATTTATGTGGTTACAATTTAATTTTTTTAAAAGAATTATAAATTTTCATAGTTTTGTTTAAAACAAAGTTAATTTGAACTTAAACTAGCACAATCTCTATGGATACAATACTTAGACTCTAAATTCATTTTGCTATTTCTTAACGAATCGTGTACTTGCAATAGTTTAAATCAAACAAATATTTCATCAACAAGTTTTTAGCGTCATTGCCAGAGATTCTAATTGAATTTAATTTCATTTACTTTGGCACTAATTCAAGCTTTTTGCTTATATTTTATTTTTCTTTTCTCAAATTTGTTTCAGTGCTTCTGTTTTCTCTATTTGAACCATTTTATTCGAAAATTCAGGAGATAGAGAACTAACACCAATTGATCCGGAATCAAGAGTACATTTCATCATAGACAAAGGAAAGCAAGAGAAGAATAACAACAAGACACGACTAATGCACAGACTACGCTAATTATTCAAATGAATGACGAGGCAGCGGTCAATAAAGGGAACATGATAGTTGAGAACTTCATAGTTCTTCAAATTATTCAAAGTCAATCTAGTATCGTTTATCTTCCTTTTGGGCAACATCCAGTTGAAAACCAATATCATCCAATTTTTTTAGAATTGACATCAATTTTATGGCAAGGCTGATGAGAACCTACACACACGTCTCTTGATTTTTGGGATGTTTCAACACTTTTGATATCAAGGAATTTCAAATGATGTTACAATATTGAGATTATTTCCACATGATCTATGTGATAGAATGCTTGAATTGTTTGACTCATAGCCTATTGCCAATATCACCACTTGGAATGACTTAGCTTAAAAGTTCTACAACAAATTATCCCCAACAACGAAGATAGCAAGTTTGAAGGATGACATATCCAAATTTTGACACGAAGAAATCGAATCCTTCAATTAGGCTTGGAATAGATTCAATAATGTACTTTAGAAGTGTCATAATCACAGCATCAGTAAGGGTTCTAGATTCAATATTTATATGCAGGTCTACTTCCATCTTATAAGAGCATGGTGGACTTTTCATCTAATGACTCTTTATCTACGAAAATGAATGATGAAACCTTGGAATTGTTTGAGAGATTGTCTACTTCCATAGCCATGTGACCTATGAGCAGTTCACAAAAAAGGTACCAGGAGTGTATGAGGTGGATACTTATACACCACTATCAATAAAAAATTGACTATTTAGTTCATAAGGTTGAGAGCATGTCATAGTCAACCAATACAAGTATAATTTATAGTAAACACTAAGCACATATGCAGAAATAGATTTTCAATTGTCATTATTACCAGCAAAATCTGAATCAACAAAACTTTTCGGATTTATTTCCTCATTAGATTTATGAAACATTAACCCAGCATTAGACGTTTCTTTTTAAGTATCTTAATAGCAATTTCATAGCCTCTTAGTGACACTCACTAAGATTGATCATGAATCTACTAAAAACACAAACTACAAAGGCTAAATCTAATTTGGTACATACCATAATATATATAATTGAACCAATAGAAGGAATTCTTTTAATTCTAATCTATTCATCTTCAATTTTAGAACATTGTTCCACGGACAGTTTAAAGTGACTGGCCAAAGGTAAACTTACGATTATAGCATCAGACATAGAAAATCTATTCAGTATTTTAGAAATGTAAGACTGTTGAGTTAGAAACAATTTGTTTCAAATTAAGTGTATTTTAATCATCATTCCTAAAATCCTTTTTGCCAGTCCTAAATCTTTCATTTTAAATTCTGGTTTAACCTTCTATTTTATTTTGTTTATTACGTAAACATCACTTCCAAGAAGTAACATATCATCTACATAGAGCAGGAGATAGTAAGAATTTGAGCCTCCATCACTCTTAAAATAAAAACATGGATCTATTCACTTCTATTAAAATCAAGCTCCTTAATAAAGGTATATAACCTTTTATACCGTTGGTTGGAAGCTTGTCTTAACCCGTACAAAGATTTATGTAAATCCTACACATAATTTTCTTTTCTTTCTTCAAAACCTTTTAGTTGAGAATTCATTCCAAAATGTAGTTTTTACATCTAATTGTTCTAATTCAAATTCAAATTGAAAAACAAGAGATAGTAAAATCTTTGTAAAAGTATATCTGACTACAAGAGAAAATATCTCATTATAATCAATTTCTTCCTTTTGGATAAACCCTTTTTGCAACTAAACTATCTCAAACCTCACAATGTTATCTTTAGATTCTCCATCTTTTATTTTATAAATCAATTTACAGTCTA